GATATACGGGATGTATATTTTAAAGTTTTTTTTTTTACCGGAAATATTTTTATTGTGGTAAAATATATATAATATTTTCCTTTGTAGCCAACTTTAAGTGTACAATTCAGTGGCATTAACACTGATTGCCAACATACACATTGTTGTACAACGATCACCACTATCCGGCTCCAGAATTTTTCATCTTCCCAAACTGAAACTCTACACCCATTAAATAGTAACTCCCCATCCCCCATTTCCCAGCACCTGGCAACCACCATTCTATTTTCTGTCTCTAAGAATGTGATTACTCTAGGAACCTCGTATAAGTGGAATCGTGGAGTATTTGTGACTGGCTTAATGTACATAGCATGGTGCCTTCAAAGTGCATCCATGCTGTAGCATGTGTCAGAATTTCCTTTTTACGGCTGAAAAATATTATATTGTGTGTATATACCACATTTTGTTAGTCCATTTGTGCTTTACACTTGGGTTGCTTCCACCTTTTGGCTATTGTAATAGTGCTGCTGTGCATAGCATTATTTCATATATATCAGTGAAGAAATATTTATTTGAGTTCCTGCCTTTATTAAGTACCTTTTAAGAGTTAAGTGGGTTTAAGAATATTTAAGAATACAAGATCCTGCAAAGACTCAAGGTCTTGATTTATTTATTTTTAAAAATATGTATTTATTTGGCTGCGTCGGGTCTTAGTTGCAGCATGTGGGCTCTTACCTGGGCCCCCTGCATTGGGAGTGCAGAGTCTTAACCACTGGACCACCAGGGAAGTCCCTGTTTATTTATTTATTTATGGTCTTTAAAATTACATTTCTTAGGGACTTCCCTGGTGGCCCAGTGGTTAAGAATCCACCTGCCAGTGCAGGAGACACGGGTTTGAGCCCTGGTCCGGGAAGATCCCACATGCTGAGGAGCAGCTAAGCCCATGTGCGACAACTACTGAGCCTGAGCTCTAGAGCCTGTGAGCCACAACTACTGAGCCCGTGTGCCACAACTACTGAAGCCCGTGCGCCTAGAACCTGTGCTCGGCAACAAGAGAAGCCACCGCAATGAGAAGCCCACGCACTGCAACGAAGAGTAGCCCCCGTTTGCCGCAGCTAGAGAAAGCCTGTGCACAGCAATGAAGACCCAATGCAGCCAAAAATATAAATAACTAAAAATAAATAAATTTTAAAAATTACATTTCTTAGACTCCCATCAAATTCAACATCCCAAATTAGGAAAAAGACATTTATACATAATAAAAGCTTATCCACCAGTGTGGCAGTCATGGACTTCTATTAATAGACAGAAGAATTAGGAAATGTGTACAACTTAAATCTAGGGAAGCAGACTGAGTTTTCACCTGTTGAGGTTTTGAAAACATTGTCAAAACAACCAGGTAAATAGGGTTCAGCTTGTCTAATCAGGTCATAAATGAGAAGATAGGTAGCCTTTCAGCTTCAAACTATTAGTAGATAATGTCAGTTGCAACCAGAATGGCTGAATATGGTTTAAGGCCCTTCAAGCTAACATGATGAACAGTTCAAAGGACTCTGGGGCTGAAGCCAGGATGGTTTCAGCTCTTTTCCCAGCAGTTTCCTCCAATACCTGCAGCTCAAATTGCTGTCTTATTCTAAGACCCACTTCTTCTTCCTTTTTAAAATTTTTATTGAAGTAGAGTTGGTTTACAGCGTTGTGTTAATTTCTGCTGTACAGCAGTGTGACTCAGTTACACATCTATGTACGCTCTCCTTCATATTCTTTTCCATCATGGCTAATCACAGGATATTGAATAGAGTTCCCTGTGCTCTACAATAGGACCTTGTTGTTTATCCATCCTATGTATAATAGTTTGCACCTGCCAATTCCAAATTCCCAATCTTTCCCTCCCCTAACCCCCCTACCCCTTGGCAACCACAAGTCTGTTCTCTATGTTTGTATGTTTCTGTTTCGTAGATATGTTCCTTTGTGTCATATTTTAGATTCCATATATAAGTGATATATGGTATTTGTCTTTCTCTTTCTGACTTACTTCACTTAGTATGATAATCTCTAGGTCCGTCCATGTTGCTGAAAATGGCATTATTTCATTCCTTTTTATGGCTGAGTAATATATATATATATATATATATGCCATAGGTTCTTTGTCCATTCATCTGTCGATGGACATTTAGGTTGTTTCCATGTCTTGGCTATTGTAAATAATGCTGCTATGAACATAGGGGCGAATGTATCCTAAGACCCACTTCCATTCCGAAGCTCTCTTCTGCTAAGTGTGGACACCACACAAACATTCATTCCAATGGGGAGACTGGATCTACATGAGTGAAATCAGGAGAAAGAACTGTCTTGGACCTGGGTGGATTGTGACCTGGGAAATACTTGCCCATGCTTACTCAGGTGGGCCCTACAGCCCCTGTAGCCCTGTGAACACCAAGGCACAGTCATGAAAACTGCCATCAAAAGGTAGTTAGCTTGACTCTACCACAAATTGCAGCTACTTCGTAAAACCCTGAAAGCCTAGAAGAGATCCTTAATCTTTACCGCCTTCCTCATAGTTCTTTTACAGTGAGAGCGAACAAGTATGTAATTGTGGTCTAATGAATGTATAGGTACACACGCATGTGTGCATTTGTACATCCATGGAGAAAGGAGTGATGAGGTCAGCCAGCCTCCTCATAGTAAAAAGAACTTTATCTTACATATCCTAAAAGTTAAAAACTCTGGAGGACTGTGACTCCCTTTCTTTTCAAAGGTATATTTATGTTTACTGACACGTCCCCTGTTTACAAAATATAAACTTAAATCGTTTTTCAGATTTATATACCCTAAGTTTGTTTACCTGACAGTTCATGGGCCTCCCTTCTCCTCTGGATCCCAAAACAATTTAGGGAAAAGTAGAGAGACGATCTTTCTTTTCTCTTTCTTCTTTCAGTCAGATTCCTTTAGCAAAGAGTAAAAGTCATCTCAAAAAAATCTGAGTTTGTGGTCTTATATCGCAATGAATGTCACATTTTGAAAGTAGTGTATGGACAATTTAAAGGGAACCATGTGGAAACGTACAATGACCGGGAACCCCTATTTGATAAAGCTCTGCAAGAACCAATATAATTGATTCATTTAGTATAATTTTATTAAATTAATAATAATAAACAGTTGAATGGGATTGAAAAAAGTGGACAGGATGAGAAATAAAGATGACTGACCCCTCCTTCCAAGGGCCTGGGGATCTTTGCTGAGGTTTTATTTGTTGTGCTGTTAGAGGAGTGAGTGCTTGAGGCCAGCTCCACCAAGGGACAAACTGGGCGCCCAAACCTCGGCCCAGGGAAATGGGACACCTCTCCACTCTAAAATGTTGATGAGCTGTAGAGGGGAGAAGAACAGGGGAGCAGATGGAATTCCTGGACAATTGTTCCGGCTGTCACCAGAGAAGACAGGCAGGAGGGAGCACTGGATAATTTACAGAGGAACAGATGCTGAGGCTCCTCCGGAACCATCTGGCCAAAAGAGGCCTGGGCTCGGGGTGGATTTCGTCTTTAGATCTGAGTAAACTCCTCAGCCTCCTGCCCATCCCATTTCCTCTACCTGAACTGGGGCTTTCCCAGGAGAGCTCTGCTCCCTGAGGACCCTGCTCCAGAGTTCCACCTGGCCCTCACCCTACTCCCTCCCTCCCTTGCTGCGTCTGGCTTCTGTCTTCCTTCCCATTCTTGATATGGCCAAGTCTGGCCTTAGGGACCTGTACCTTCCATTTATGCATTTCCCTATTTTACAGTATTTTCAATTTCTTCTCCCCATCACTACATTCCAAAATCCCTCTATCACTTATCTCCATGCCATTTATTCATTCAATAAACATTTATTGAGTGCCTACTATACCAGGCATTGCTTTAGATACAGTAATGAATGAGAAAAAGGTCCCAGAGCTCTGGAGTTTGCATTATAGTGGGAGATGGTCAACAAACAAACAAAAATATAATATGTCACATAGTGATAAGTGCTGTGAAAGAAAACATTAAAGCAGGGTAAGGGAGAGTGATTGGGGATGTTGTTTTAGATAGTTTGGCCAGGGAAGGCTTCTCTGAGGTGGTAACATCTGGGCAGAGACACAATGAGAGGAAATATCTGGAGGAAGCTCATCCCAGGCACAAGGAAGAGCAAGCCTAAAAGCCCTGAGGCAGGAGTATTCTTAGTGAGTGGCAGAATGCTATGCTATTTATTTCTTAAGTATTTATTGTGTGCCAGGCACCTGCTAGGGAATATGAAGATGTAATCAGATGTAGTTTTTGCCCTGAAGGAGCAGCAGTTTAGTGAGAGACACAACATGTAAATAAATAATTACAGCACAGGTAGCTACAATGAAGTTATGTGCAAGTGGCTAGAGATACCCAGCAAAAGGAGCACCAAATCCAATCTAGGATATTGGGAAAGGCTTCCTGGAGGAGGTGATAATTTGAGTTGAGGGCTGAAGGAGGAGTAGGAATTCATAATGCAAGGGGAGGAGAGGGCTTGGACGTTTTCAGGCCTAATGGCCTGAAAACAGGACAATGGGGAACATGAAGTCCCCGGGAGAGGTGGAAAATGAGGCTGATGAAGGGGCGAAGAAGCTGGGTCTTAGAGATTTCCATGTGGCAAGTTAAAAAACTGCCTTTTATCCTTTGGGTGATGGGGAACCAGTGCTGCAACTCCCTCACTATATTTTTGTGCTGTTTGCCCCCAGTCTTTTTTGGTTTTGTTTTTTGAATACCAGAATCTTTCCCCACTTTTCTCGCTATCGCCCTACTCCTGACACCTCCTTCCTTCTTCTGCTGCCAGGCCACCAAAGCCTGCTCTTACGAGCTCCCCGTCTTTCCACCTTGTCTGGCGCCCCACTATTCCCCAGTTGGAAGCCACGCCCCCATGACCACGCCCCCGATGACGCACGGCGCCTAGTGCGTGGGGATTCCCGCGGCCGTGACCACTACCCGGCCTGCCCTGCGGCAAGATGGCGGTCTGAAGGGAGTGGGCAGCGGCAGAAAGTTTGTTGTGGGATTGGAGTAGTCGGGCCGGGAGTTTAGACTTGTAGGGGATCATGGGGACACCAACATGGAGTTGGGGCGGAGGAAGGACTAGCACCGGGGTTAAGAAGAGGAAATGGAGTGGTGGAAGGTTGGAGGCGGAGAGAAAAAAAGGCGATAGGAATGGAGGGGAGGGGGCCTAGATTCCAGTGGTAGCCCTGGGGCAGGGGATCCGAGGCGGGGCAACCAGAAGTAGGTACGCAGCCCCGGAAAAGCAGAGTCACGAACTGGAGCGGAACTTCTTAGCGGAGAGTAAAAAGCCTGGAGTGTGGGGCGGAGGCCCGACCGTACCAGGCCGGTGGGAGAGGAAAGGGGTCTTTTCCGTGGAGGAGGAGAGTAGGGAAGGGGGGAAGAGAGACCTGAAGGATGTTGGGCAGGTTTGGTAAAGAGGGAACTAAAGCCAATCAAATGACCATCTTCTAGACTTAGATCAGCCTTTTCACAGTTCTTATAGCAGCATCTGCCCCAATTTCAGCTGAAGACTCAGGGGCCCCAGGGACTGGAAGAAATCACAATACTTGGAAAGAAGAAGAGGTAGCGACTTGCCCCAGCTCAACCCCAGAGCGGGTAAGGTGGCCTCCGGTGACAGGCTGGCATGCTCCCTGGGAGCGGAGCAGGATGCATGGGCTACGAGTGATGCTGAAAATTATTTAATCTGAGAAGGGCACTCTTCTATAGAGGCTGCCCTTTGCCTGTGGTCCCTAAGTTAATGTTCTTAGATCTCACGCTGATTTTTGAGAGTTGGGTGTAGAATTGAGCCGTGTATGCCTTCACCTGTGCAGGCGAACGTGGGCAAGAGCGTAGAGATCAGGCTGAAAGTATTTGAACACATCCCTGTCACAAGCAGTTCATGCTCACTGTATTTTCTTTGCTCTCCCCATCACATCTTCAGTTTGGTATCCTGCCGGAAGTGGAGATTTGTGGGTGTCAGATGGTGGGGAGTCATAAGAAAACAAATTTCTGGTGGTGTTCACTAACCATTTAGGTACCTGCTGTCACCAGTTCCTGAATTCACTCTTGCAGCATGTCTGTCTCTTTCGATCGTTTCTTTTGGTAAGAAGGGCTTGTTAGTGTTCTTTGGGGGTGTGGATTTGGTGGGTAGGTGGGGTCAGAGGAGGGCGGGAGGCAGGTTGGGATTAGGGAGGAGAAACCCAGGTCAGTTTATGGTAAGAGGTCAAGCTGACTGGGGTAAAGCTCTGCGAACATTTTTCACATCATTCTGTCCGTGAGGCACCTGATTTTGGAGAGCTGCTTTACAACCTGGACCAGTGTGGTGATGGAAGGAAAGGATTGTAAAAGTTGCCCCTTTCTCTTCTGGTAGTTTTCTTCTCTTCCTTTATATTCTTCCCATCAAACCACATTAAAAAAAAATATCAGTTTCATTAGCAAAACTAAGCATGGCTTGAGAGATAGTGGACTTGGGGTTGGAGAAAAGAGAAGGGGTCTGGAGCTACAGAGTGCTGTGAGTATGGTCCTCACTTCCTTTGATGCCCTGTGGTTATGCCCAAGCCAGAGTTGGGAGCATGCTTCTTACTGGAGCCTGTTTCAGGGCCAGCATCTGCTCCATGATTGGACTGGCAAATCTGGTTTGATCTAGGACTCCGCACTAACCATCTCCTGCTCCCCACTCCTACCCCATCCCTGCCTGCAAAAGGCTTACTCCAGGCAGACCAATCCGAATCACTGTCACTAGACTAGCTTCAGTATCTTCAAGTATCTGAAGAACTAGTGTTATTTAGCTGTGACTTCCTTTCTAGAAGGTTGAGAAACTTCTCTTTCTGCGAACAATTTGTGGATGTCCCTAGGAAATTGCGATCAGCAAGGACAGTGTGGTGAGCGCACATAGAGATTAAGAGCACTGACTCTGGAGCCAGATTGCCTATTCAAATCTGCACTTTGCCATATGTAGCTCTGTGACCTTTAGAAATTGCACAGCTCACTATGCCTCAGCTTTCTTATCAATCAAATGGGGATGGTAAGATTACCTATCTCATAGGGTTGTGTGAGGGTCAAATAAGTCAGTATATTAATGTATTTAGAACAGTGCCTGACACACAATATGTATTTGTTGTTATTATACTAGTCAGATCTCAGCACTAATTTCTGCTTCATGATTGAACTTGGTGTCTCTCTGTGGAGGACCTGTACTGGTTTGAGCTGCTCTCCTGATGTTAAGGAGAAGAGGCACAGCTTTGGGATAGTATAGATTGTGTGTGTAGTGAGAATATCCTTGTTAAGCTATTTAAAGTGATGTTTAAATGCCAGTGACTTCCTGTTTGAAGCTGTGAGGCTGCAGAATTATCTAATTTGTAGTTGAGTGATAATAATAATAATAGTGCTTTTTGAGCACATTCTTTGTGCTTGGCACTATTGTAAGTGCCTTACCTGTATTAAGTAATTTAATACTGTTAGTATCCCCATCTTACAGATGAGTAAATAGAGGTGCAGAGTGGTTAAGTAATTTGCTCAATGTCACCTAGCTAGTAAGTGTTAGAGCTGGGATTTGAACCCAGGCAATCTGGCTTCAGCAGTTGAGCCTTTTTTTTTGCATTTGGTATGAAATTAACTTTTAAATATGCCTACTGGCAACGTGTATCTCGTTTGCTTGTAATGATAGTTAGATGTATACCCATATTGTAGTAAAATATTTTTTGTTTGTTTAAAAAATGTTTTAGGAGCTGAGCTCTTCATCTCAGCTCTCCTTCCTCTCAGAGATAATAACTGATGCAGGGATTGGTGAGGGAGCGCCCTGTGCCATGTTAGCCAAATCTGGACTCTCTCTTTGTGATTCAACTTGGTGACTGTGCTTTGGGAAACCTTGGGCTGGGTTGGGTGAGCAGACAGAGTTACATTGGGATCCATTCTTAGCATGCATTAAAGGTGTGGGTGTGGGTGTTAGTTAATGTAGATGTAAATATAAGGCTCAATCTGACTATGATTACTGACATGAGCAGTTGAAGTAGCCATAGTGTTAAACTCATAGACGGTCTGGATGCACCTTTCTTTTAAAAATAAAAAGTAGCAAACTACACAGGGGGAAAAATGTGGCGTTTTAGACAGCTCCCTCCCTCTAACATGAGAGGAAAGTGGAAAGTAAATGTGCTTCTGCTAAAGCTTATGTTGTTGAGGAAGGCCCTGTTGCCGAGCCCAGGTCTCTTTCCTTTTAACAGGCAGGAGACCTGTGTGCAGCCTTGGGGCAGAGGTGTACCCAAGGGTTGATTGACTGGCTTTCCTTTGCCCTGTATTTATGACTTACTCTTCCCCTCCTTCTGAGTCATGTCCTGTCTATTTAACACACCCTCGGGGTCCATCTTTTTCTTCAGTAAATGACTCTCCATTCTGCCATCAGGGTAGGCACGCGCCTGGTGTCGGGGGCTCAGGACCTAGGGTTTGCCCTGGGAATTCTGATGCAGCCCTGTGATGAACTTTTCAGTCTGTTGTGGCATGTGTGATTTTGAGAGTTAGCATCTGTGAGTCTGCTCCCCTTCTCCATCAATAGAGGAGCCACGTATCTCAGGATAATGTGCTTTATCTTGACTCGTGCTTCGGTCAGCATGCTGAAACGTGTTATCTCCATAGAGTACACCTTTGTGTTTTGGTAGAAGTCCTCAGACTTTCTAGATTCAGGTCACATTTTAGCAAATGATTGAACTTCAGGGTGAAGGCTGATAGATTTTGAGCCAATTCTCCCCCTTTAGCATTTTCTTTTTGTTGTTGTCTAAATCAGTTTCTTCTCATAACACCCCATATTCATGTATTATCTTTGAATCGAATCCCTTCACCTCCTTCTCACCACCATATTTTGAGTGCCGAGGACCTGTGGGTAAACTGGGCCTTCATTTCTTCACCTGGATTCAGCCTCTTAACAGCTCTCTAAATTTATCTCATTCTCTGTAGCTTCTGGGCCTTTGCACAAGCTGGTCGTGCTGTCTGGAATGCAGACATTCCAGACTCCCTTTACCTTCCTTATTGCTCTTGTGGTCTCAGTTTAAATGTCACTTCCTTTGGGATCCCACCGCCCTTTACTGTCCTTCTGTGCTTACTTCTATTTTGGCACTTAGGCTGCATTGTAATTGCCTGTTTACTTGTCTGACTCTCACAAGATTCTAAGTGCCTTGAGAACAGATACTGTCTTACTATTGTATTCTAGCATTTAGGATAGTGCAGGGCACATAAGAGGTGCTTTATAATGCTGTGGTGCATACAGATGAATGAAATGTGGGCAGTCTCTCCCTACTCTACCCTACTGCTCTAAAAATTATTTTCCTAGAAAAAAACCCAATGTCTCTGCGGCTTCCCTGGTGGCGCAGTGGTTGAGAGTCCGCCTGCCAATGCAGGGAACACAGGTTCGTGTCCCGGTCCGGGAAGATCCCACATGCCGCGGAGCGGCTGGGCCCGTGAGCCATGGCCGCTGAGCCTGCACGTCCGGAGCCTGTGCTCTGCAACGGGAGAGGCCACAACCGTGAGAGGCCCGCGTACTGCAAAAAAAAAAAAAAAAAAAAAAAAACACAACAAAAAACCAATGTCTCTTCCCTTAGAAAGGCCATGGTTTCTCCCTTGTTTGGGATAAAGTCCACACTCTTTAACGTGGTATGCACAAAGCACTCTGGCCCAAATTCAACCCTCTGGCCTGAGTTGCTGCCACTCTGCTTCATTTGTCCTGTATTTCCTTGCTTCTGAGTTTCCTACTGCTCCTGAACCTTTTCTAGACATCCGCTTACTTTTTTCTTCTTGCTTGTGCACTTCACTCTCCATAATGCTCACCTCTGTCTCTGAAGCTCTGCTCATCCCCTGAGACCCAGCTTCTCTGTCTCCTCCGATGAGAAGACTTCCCTGCTTTCCTTTCTTCCTCTTGGTCCCCACAGCACTTTGAACCTCTGTCCTGGCACTTACCATGTTGTGTGGTGAGTTCTCTGTTTACCTGTCTATCTCTTTCACTGAGCTGACCCTGTAGAGGAGGCACCCTCCCTGATCATGGGGTGGGGGTGGGGAGATAGGGGAGACTGGGAGGGTGGGGGTGAGGGGAGTTGGAAGTGGGGTGAGCAATGTGGTAGATGGAGTCTGATTTTGGAGCTGGGTTTTAATCCCGACTCTGCCCCTTACCAGCTGTGCGACTTTGGGCAGGTTGCTTAACCAGTAGGATCACTGGTCTTGTCCCCTATAAAGTGAAGGTTACATTACCTTTTTTGCAAGAGTATTGAGCATTAGAGGTAATGAGTACACAGCCTGTAGCAAGGTGCCTGGCGTATGAAGGATACTCAGTAAATATTTGTTAAATGAATGAATCCCACTTTGGAAAACTCAGTGGATAAGAAAAGGCTTTGTTTTTATTCAAGGTAGACTAAACCTTTTGATTTTTGCCAGGTAGCCAGGAACATTTCTGAGATGGGAGTAAAATTGAGAGAGTCTCCTTTTTTGTGATGAAGCAACAAAAAAGGTGAGATTGGGTACAGCATCAGTGTGCAAAATAAGATTGTTGATCCTTCTCCCCATCTGTTACGTTGAAACAACTCCTTTGATGGACTGTGACATGCATGCGAGATTGGTGATGACCTTGGTGGGTACAGGTGGGGGTGGGTAGGTGGTGGATTTGTAAGATGGTACAGAAAAACCCGAACGAACTTTTTGGTCAATCCAATAGTTAAGGCTGGGGATGACTGGATGGCATGTTTGATGATCCATGTTCCCCGGTGTTTTGTAGACTGAAAAATGTTGGGTGAAGCTGATGGAACACATCTAGGCATTGAGGAAGCCAGACTTCTTGTCCCAGTTTTCTTACGGCTTCGATGATCTTCTTGTGCCACAGAACAGGCTTAACTCAGGTGCTCCCCAGAAATGGGGTTGGAAGCTGAGGGTCGCTGTCCATTCTTTGCCTTTTTGTTTTTGGTATCGTTGATGGGAGTAGTTCTTCGGGCACCAGTTCTGAACAAACACCAAAGGAATTTGTTTCCAGAAGTCTAGACCTCTTAATTGTATAATGCCGGGTGGTGCTCCAGTGTGAGTTTACAACCAGAGGAAGATTTGTCTGGGTTCTCGGGAGGGCAACCTTTTTGTCTGGTCCTTAAACCCCTGCCCCAGCCAGGTGCCTCTCCTCTTTGCCCTCAGAGCACTCATCACACTGTGATGGTGGGGGAGCAGTTAACCTGTGTCTCCCCGTCTCGGCGCAAGATCTTCTTTCTTTGAAGCTTCTTAGGGGCAAGGTCATTTATTGAAGGCTGAGCGTTTAGTTAGACTGTACATAGTAGGTGCTGAGCAACTCTGGTTCCTGTGTGACCCAACCCAGTCCTTCCTTAGACTAAAGCAGATAAGATCTATCTGGCAAAGCTTTTTGAACCCTCAGGAAGGAAGGTCCTGCATAAACAAACGGTGATAGTATTAACAATTGCATTACTAATTATTTTCCAGGGTTGAGTTAATGTGGTTAAATGATCTTCCAGGTGCTTGGCTTCAGCTGTCTCCCTTTTCAGCCTTATGTTCTAATCACACATCCCTAAGCCAGCAGGAAGGAGTTAAAAGAGGAATCGAAGTACACACAGGTGTATTTTCTTGCTTAATTAGCATCTTCTAAAAGGTCTTTGGTTGCTGACATCCTCTTTGTTATTCATTAAGCTCCTTTTAGTGCCCACTGTAACCTGCTTGCTTTTCTGTTGTATCACTGGTCCTGTCTTGGTGGGCTCCATGCTCACAACCAGGACTTACTACAGCCTTGTTAGTGCCTAGATGAACTAAAAGGATGAAACCAGCAGGCAGAAGTGGATTGAAGGAGTTTTCCCCGGGCTCTACCCCTCATCCCTCGGTGTGGGGTGCACACTGCAATGTGGCATATCTTCCTGATGGCATCTTGGCAGGAGTAATAAGCTGCATTGTATGTTAAGCAGATTTGAGAGGAGATTGGGTGAGCCAGCTGGACTGGATTGTGCTGTGTGCTTTTAGGCTTCAGAGGGACTGAGTCCATGAGTAGAAGAGTGAGAACTTTGTTTGGTCTATCTCGTAAGTGCCAACTGTCTACTAGGTGACATTTGGAATCTATAAAGGACATGGCCCCCTATTTGTGAAGAGCTTCTGTGCTCTCACAGTAAACTGTGGCAGGGATCTCCCTGAGGGTAGGGACTGCTTTTTGGGAAGTCAGCCTAGACCCGAGAGCCCTGTGCTTCCACTCAGCCAACCAGAGAGATAGAACTCTGTGCTTATCGCCTTGCGTACTGAGCAGTGGCCTCTTTGCACCTTCCCAGGAAAGCCAAGTGGGGAATTCAATCTCAGAAGTCTTTGAGGGTCTTTAATTAGGGCAGAATTGTAGTCGCTTTCCTGTGCTCCCTGGAGAAGACAGCTTTCCAGGCTTTGCACTGGAATTGGATATGGAGGGTTCTGTCCCAGTGTGTCTGTGGCCTTGGGCAAGTCACTTGACCTCTCTTGTCGCTTCAAAATGGGAGAACTCCACTTGTTCCGTGGGCCTCACTAGGCTATAAGGATCAAAGGAAATGTAATGGAAGGGACAGCACTTCCAGAATGGTAAAGCACAGTACAGATGGAGGGATTTTGTCCGTTTGTTGAGGAGCTGTATGTTTTCATCATAAACATAATGTATGTCCTCGTTTAAAATACCAACCATACAGAAAAGTATACAAAATTAAAAGTAAAGTAAAAAGACCTTTCCTTTCTTCCCCCACTGCTCCTGTCTAAGCCTTTTCCCAAAGATAGGGAACTACTGTTAACCGTCTATCATGTATCTTTCTAATCATTTTTGTGTACTTCCAGACATTCCCCATCGTGTATCGCCTGTAAAATAAACAAAACTCGATAGTAATACATACTGTTCTTCAGCTTGCTCTGCCCTCCTAACAGTTAACCCCCGGGGGGTGAGGGTGGGAGTGAGTCCCTCCCCGTTGGAGCCTTTGAGGAGCCTGGTTGCAGCCTCCTGCCCAGCGTGGTGCGTTCGTGGGGGCTGGCTGCTTGGGAGGATGGACCAGCTTTCCTAGAGGCTCTTGCCACAGCGGGCACCCTGCTTATCTCTGAGGGATTGTCTTTTATTCTGGGATGAAATTTTCTGGCAGGAGTGCCCTTGAGTGGGAACCAGGATGGGTGCAAGTGTGATGCGGGCATCAACACTCTCGCCTCACGTGTTTCTCTCCTTCACTCCTCTTTCATCTTTGGCTGGGAAGGGAGTAGAATTACCTAATTTCTCAACCCCTGTTTTAGTGCAGAGAGAGTCTCCTCTAGTTCCTGAAACCTTGGATTAGCCAGGTCACTTGCTGCTCTACCTTTCAAAAGCAAACCAGACCCAGCTGGTGTTTATTTATTTATTTGTGTGTGTGTGTGGTGAGGATTCGGAAGGTAGCCTGCCCGTGGCCATGCTTCCTTGCCAGTCCAGCGAAGAGGTCAGAGCCCACAGGAAGAGTTGTCATCTTCTCTGCTAGATGGTTATCTCACCCTTCATGGCCTTTTGACCTCTGGGGCTGTCAGAGCGATGTGGGGAGCCCAGTGAGGAGGCAGTTGGGAAGCCTGTCGGAGGCTTCTCCTGCCTGTGTTTATTGTTGGCCTGGGCTTGGGAGAAGGCCAGGCCCATATGTGGGGCCAGGGTGGTCTCTGTTCTCCCCTTCCTTCCCCGAGTCATCTTGTCATCTGCAGGCCTTTCAGACAGAAGGGCTTTCCTGTCCTGCTGACCCAGGGGTCACATCTTGGGTGGGGGTCTCTGGGACTCCACTGCTGTGGCACATTTGCCTTGAGATCTCAAAGCCGGGGTGTGTCGCTTCCCCTAGGTGGTTCTGGAGGCTTTCAGGAAAGAGTGTTCCTTGGGCTAGCTGTGTGGGAACGCTAGCCTTTCTGGGCATTGCTCATTCTGAGGGGGTGAGGTAGTCCCTCTCAGGGTCTGGGGAGCCTGGCTGTAGCATAGTCCTTATCCTTGCTCTGTGGGTTCCTCTGGTGGCAGCTCACTGGGAAGCATCATTCCCTGGCCCTTTCAGAAACTGAAAGGTGGCAGTGTGTCACCCGTTCCTTTGACTGGCCCAGCTGGCTGGGGTGCACACTGCCCCATTGTACTGGGCTTTCCATGCAGCTCTTGTTGCAGCCTCCGGTCCCTGGGCCAGTTCTCTCCCAGCCCCTTTCCTTGGAGCCCGTGGGAGGTGGTGGGGTGAACTCTGCTGGCACAGGCCTGGGCTAGGTGGCAGCTGCAGCTGTAGCTGTGGGTGGCTTTGTTCTTACAAGCAGCTTTCAGGGCTCTGGTGCAGCCTGGCAGCAATGTTCCGGGAATAGGTGAGACAGGGGAGCTTCCCCCTGGTAGCAGTGCCCCGTTCCAAAACGGCAGTCCTCTCTTTCTGTTGACCATCCCTGGGGTCATGAGCTGGGCTCACTGCTATACTTTCACGAGGCATGCTTTCTAGAGTGGAGAAAGCCCCTGAGGGTCTGGTGGTAAGTCTGGGGGAGTGTCCCTGTCAGGAGAGTGCAGTGTGTACCCTCAGGCATCCTGCAGCTTGGCAATCCTTCTGCTCTCTCTTTGCAGCTCCGGAGTTGGGCTGCTCACAAACCAAGCTGTCTGTTTGTATGGAGTGCCTGGAGGGCGTCTGCCATGAGTCTGTCGCTAACCGTGCTAACCAGGAGAGCTGGCTGGTTGGGGAGAAGACACTAACCCTGTGAGTCTGACCTGGGCCAGCTGAGGGTGCCGCCAGCCATGCCTCTCTTCTCCCTTCCTCCCCCTGACCTGTGCCTTCTCCCCTTTGCTTACATCATGCCATCTCCTCTGCTCGCTTGTCCTTACTACTGGGTTCCCTCCATTTTCCCAGTCTCCTTGCTGTGGGTGGGGCTGTGCATGGGCACCTGCCCATCTGCTGCTGGACTTTGCCCCTCCTTCTCCCTTTAGTTAGTACCATGGCTATCAGTTCTCCCTTAAAACAGAATGGTTAGCATTTCTGTTTAATCTGCTTTTAGCACCGTGGAGTTTGAGAACATCCCTCAGTTACCATACTGTTGGTTTCACGCCTCAGAGACAGATGGAAGGAGAGTAGGAAGGGAATTTTCTGCTAGACTGGATAGTTTCCTCCCTTTATCAACAGGGGAAGATGGTGGGGATTCCCTGGTGGTCCAGTGGTTAGGACTCGGCGCTTTCCCTGCCGTGGCCTGGGTTTAGTCCCTGGTCCGGGGACTAAGATCCTACAAGGCCTGTGGCGGAGCCAAAAAAAAAAAGAGGGGAAGATGCTGTAGCCATTATTCTCATCCCAGGGTACGAAGTGAATTTAGGATCAGTTGCAGGTTCTTCTTGGGGGTGGGGAAGTTGAGAAACACCTTGGCCTGGCTGTGGGAAATTGCCTGGGCAGAAGAGTGAAACTACTTAAACTGAAAGCTGGAGCCCAGAACCAGAGATGTAGCTCCCATTGGTGACCGTGGCTCTGGGAGGTGGAGTGGGTGGAGTTAGTCCCCCCACCGCCTTCCACGTCTGGAGCTTCACGGGGACTCTAACCATAAAGAGCTGGGAAGGGCGGCTCAGCCAGAGGGGGAAGGACCTGGCTTTGGACTCCACAGTGGGCCTAGGAGAGGCCTTGGCCTCAGCTTGCCATGGAGAAGCCCCCGACAAGCTCCCACCTCCCTCCAGGCTTGGAAAGGAGAAGGGGGGGGTCCAGAGGTAGCAGGAAGGCCGATTGCTCGGGGCTCCCTGGTGTTCTGCATGGGTAACTCTGTAGACAGACACTGTCTCCAGCCTCTGGAGGCAGTGCAGGGTGGGGTGGGCTGGATGGGGGAACTTGAGACCTGGAGGTCCTCTAAGTGGATTCTGTTTCCCTTGAGCCAGGAGGGAGATGGCAGGGAGCTGCCTGCGACCATGAGGTGTAAGTGTGTAAATGAGAGAGGGGGTAGGTGCTGCGCGGATGTGTAGGGACCCTGAGCAGGGAGGTAGCAAGCTGGAGGGGTTTGTGGCTTGGCTGTGACCAGAAGAGCAGAAGGGGCGTGGAGTGCAGGGCTGATTCAGGGCCACCCTCACTTTGCGCTTCCTTAGGAGAGGGCATGGGGACTGAGGTCAAGTGCTGGTTATGGTCCTGGGGATCTTCTGGCCCTCGCTTTGGGCGGGGGTTGGTTTGCTTGGACCATCATCATCAGTAGTCTTCAGCCCCTTTGTTCCTGTCAAGTGTTTGCCTGAATGAGAGGCCAGGTGGATAGACTTGAGGTATTTGCTCAGGTGGGGATCCAGGTGAGCTCTCACAGGTCTCCAGCACTAGTTCTGAGGCCTCAGGATGACTTTGGGGCACAATAATTCCCACCCATTCTGGCTTTTAAAAACCTGTCAGTCTGTTCTGCTTAGAGCGGGCAGGGGGCCAGGTCAGGGCCGCAGGCAGCATGCCCCAAGAGGGTGAGGTTGAACTTGCCCTGAGGGGTGACAGGCCTGCCTGGGGGAGGGGCAGCAGGGCTGGTCTGGGCACAGACTGGCATCTTCCAGCCTTGTCATCAGCCCAGAGCAGAGCCTGCCTGGGCCCCACCTGTGCTCTGCTGGCTGCTTGCCTGCCACGCGCCCAGCATCGCTGAGGGCTTTGCTTAGGTATCTCAGGAACAGCTGTGCCGGAAACTGGGGGCCTGGTGTGGGGAAGGCTGAACCCAGCCTGCTTTGGTCGGATCGGCTCACTGTGCGGCTGTTCACTGACAGTCGAGGTGGAGAGGAGCCATACTGACTGGGAGCGGTGGCGGGGGGGGGGGGGGGGCGGTCCTTGTGGGCAATCTCAGGGGCCCCTGCTGGTTATAGCGCTGGCCCTTGTAGGGTGGTGGTTTGTGTTTCTTGGGCCTCAGCTGGAGGCAGAGCCTGGATTTCAGAGGCTTGAAAAGCAGCTAGATATGTATGGCAGGAGTATGTCCTGCCCTGAGAGGTGCAGCTTCCTCCAGGCCTGTAGTGTTCAGAGACTACATCAGGGCTCACAGCTGAGGACGATTTCCGCAGGGGAGGCGCTAGTCCCTGTGATCAGATGTTCCTGTTTAGCGGTTGATTAGGGGCTTCAGGAAGGGCCCATATTTGTTTTTATTATTTATTTATATCCTGCTGGGTTAAGGTACCATACAGCACAGCTGGAGTATTCAGAAAAGGGGCCGTTTTCCTTTCATTTTAAAAGCAGCAGTGATTGCTAACGTCCATTTGACTTTCTTTGGGTGAATTACAAAAGAAGAGCTTTAATGGTTTTTGTGGTGAGGTGTGTGCCTTCCCTGAATCAGAAGGTTGGGTTCATTGGCCCCTTGAGGTCCTTCACTTGCTTGATTCAGTGACGGCTGGGAGCAGAGAGACATTAGTAAGTTCAGAAATGGTCTGAGCCCAGAGGAACTGTTGGGACCCTAATTTCTTGAAGAGAGTGTGGGTGATGTGGGGAGCTGGGGAAGCAGGCGGTGTCTCTGGGCAGGCAGCTGAACTGGGCCGGTGGACAGGGTAGTGCAGAGCTTGGGAGCTAGAGGAGACCTCCAGTGGGGGAGGGCAGAGTTTGAAAAGCCAAAGAGCCAGACCTATTTTGGATTCAATCCTGTCTCCCTCTGCTGGGCCAGTGTTGAGGGGGTAGCCTCTGAGCCCTGAGCAGAGAGAAAGCTGGATGCTGGGACCTTCCTTCCTCTCCTGCACTGGTGACTTTGCCCTTGGGCAGACCCACAGAAAGGATGGCAGAGGGAAGTAACAGGGCATCCTTGGCTCTTGGAATTGAACCTTTTGCTGTTGCCTCTGTGGGTGTTTGCAGGGAATGGGAGAGAGGATAGTTTGGAGATAATCTGAATTCTGAAGAGGTTTCTCCTTATCCTACTTCGCCTCCAGCAGCGTCCCTGACCTCGACGGAGGCCCCAGGTCACATACCCACACTCTCCGTATCCACAAAGGGGAGTGGGTAGGAGTCCCATCTCCTGGTTTGAGAGAGATGCTTGGCAGATGTTTTGTCCTTTGATTAAAGGACACTGCTCAGCCAGCTCCTGGCACACATTGCTCCTTGTATCTGTCTCTGATACGTGCTCTGCTCAGCTGTTCAGTGGGTTCACAGTGCAGGTTCCCTGTGCGTGCCGAGTCCCATTTCTAATGAAAGTAGACTTTGTTCTCTGGAGGTAGCTAATCGTGCCCGTGGGCTGTAATCAGAGAGAAGGTATTTCATGCAGGGCAGGCGGTAACAGGCGGCCTGAGCTGACTGGCAGATTGCAACATGACAATTACGAAGCTATCAACACCCCCCCCACGCCTCCGCCCCAGCAGATAGGGGGTTGAGTCTGTCCTCTGAACTGATTCTGAGTAACTGGAGAATGAATACTATGCAGGAGAGGAAGGAGAAGGAGGAGTTAGGTGGGGTGGGGGCAGTGAGGAGAGCTGCTTTCCTTTCTCACCTCACCTCCACGAGATGGGAGGGTTTACTGCTGCTCTGGGTGTCTTCCTCAGCCGTGCCTGCAGGTCCAGCCCGAGGAGCTGCAGACCAGACTGGGTCAGCCAGGGGTTTTAACTTAGGCTTCAGCCTTTCTCCCAGATCACAGCTGTTCTTGTAGTACAAACCCAGCATGTGATCTGGTACCCCACATCCTGAGTCATCTGCGTCCAATTCCTTGAAGCTCAGGTAGTTTGTGGTGAGGGATGGGAGTGGGATTCTTCCCTGTCAATTTCTAGAACTTCTAGAAGACTCTTTTCTCGGAGGTGCCCTGGAGCCAGCTCAGCATCCAGAGGCCAAGAGGACCCAAAAGGCCTTGTTTGCTCCTTGTGGCCCATGGCACATTCTGAGTTGTCCAGCTTTCCCTGGGGGCCTCTTCTTCTTGACATGGGATTGGGAGTCCTCCTTGGGCTGCAGCACTCCAAAGCAACCTGGGAATCTTGAGGTGAAGGAGATCTGGCCAGTGGAGGCTGCATCTAGTAGCTGGGTCTTCCTGGAGGGACCACTCTGCTGCCTTCCAGCTCATCTTTCCTCTTCTCCCAGCTTGTGGACCTGCTGTTCAGCTGCTTCTTACTTTGTTCTGCAGTGTACCTGGCATTGCTCTCACTCCTGGGTCTGACCTTCCCTGCGGTGCTTCCAGTCAGGGACAGCAGCCTGCCAGGCGCATCGAGTCCCTGTTCAGTGCTGGAATTGTGGTCCCCTATGGGCTGGATCTGGGGCGCTTAGCAGATCTCAGGAGTTGGAGCCAGGGCCCCAACAAGCACTGGAATTTATGGACATGGGGCAGGGGGCGGCACGGACTTTTCCTCATGGACTTGTGTTGGGGTCACTGCAGGCTCCCTGGTCGACTGTCTCGCTAGTGGGCATTGTCTTCTGCTTCCCCAGTTGGGAGTCGTTTCCCTCCCTGTGACTCTGACACATACGAAAAGAGTTTTCTCTGGCTGGCAGAGAGAACCTCCCATCACCACTACCATTCATCCCATAGTCTGAGCCTGCACTTATGATCCATCTCACCGCCAGCCACATCCACACTGTCTGTCCCCTCAGCAAGCCAGATTATCTTGCCATGAAAGCCTTGGGAATATGTGCTGTGGGGCCGTGAGGTCAAGATGAGGCAGGATGAGCTTGTAGGACATGTGATGGCTAGAGCTGGGCCAGCAGGGTATGGAGTGAGACCGCTCTCTCTCCTCACAGGTAGAATGACCAGTTACCTGGGCCTGTCAGTGTCCTCCCTGCCCACCCACCGCCCACACAGGTGTCCCAGTACCTAGAGGACAGTGTGGGCATTGGCAGGAATAGGGAAGAGAAGAGGCTGAGAATAGAGGGGGTATATATAAAGGGGCCTGCAAAGAGAAAGGGCTACTGAGCTGAGTGGGGAGCAGGTGGGGAAGGGAGGAGGGACCTGGCTTCTCCGCAGAGAAGGGGAGAAGGCAGAAGCCAGCTCTGGATTTCCCGGGAGCTCTTGGCTACCTGTATCTCTTACTCCTGCAGCTCTGGCTCTTTCCTCTTTTGTAACTCATATACACCCCCACGCTGAGACCCCCTGGCGATCAGAACCCAGGTGCCCAGGCTGGCTTGGGACTTTTTGGGCCTTTCCCCTGGGCCGGAGGAGCTCCCACCCAGGGTCCCACCGGAAGGGTAGCCCTGGGGAACCTGTAGGGGTGACTACACCTCAGCAGTGTGCTGTCCCTTCGGGCCTGCCCGGATTCCTGCGCGTGGAGTCAGCCCGACACGGCCTGCTGCAAGTGCCCTGTGGGGACCCGCTCTGCCTCACTATCAAAGGGCTGGGGTGGCGGCTCGTGCCTGCTGCCAAGCCCCAGAACCCCACACCAGAGGCCAGGCTGCCCAGAGGAGGGAGGCCACTCCTGCTTCCCGCCCTCCCCGCCCCCTCACCGTGCTTCCTGCCTCAGGCCCTGTTGGAATGTGACAGGAGTCGTGGCCAGGGCATGTCCCAGCAGCAGGAACACACGCTTTAGCCCGCAAGGCTTCCCTCAGCCCCAGCCCTGGTGAGGTGGATGGCGGCCACGAGATTGTTTATGCCCAGAAGGCCACCTGAGGTTACTGCCTCCATTGGCCCCTGTGGTGGCTGCTGCCCCCATGCTGCAGCCCAGCTCATTACAGGTGGGGGAGAGGTCAGAACCCCAAGAACCTGGAGGGGACCTCAGAGGTCACTCAGTCCAGCCACCTCTGTGCAGATGACAGATTTATCCAGTGAGGAAAGGACTTACCCAGGGCCACACTGTGTGTCAGACGCAGCACTGAGCCCAGAAGCCAGGCGTCTCAGCCCCCCAGACTGGGGCTTTCTACACAGAGTTTTGCAGCCTAGGCACCATCGACATTTTGTGCTGATAATTCTTTGTCTTGGGAGGCTGTATTGTGCCTTATAGGATGTTTAGGAGCACCCCTGGCCTCTACCCACTAGATGCCAGTACCACCCACCCCTGGTGTGACAACCAAAAATGTCTTCAGACGTTTGCCAGCTATCAGGGGTCGGGGGAGGAGGGGGCGGGGGAGACCAAAATCACCCTGGTTGAGAGCCATCATTGCTCTAAAATGCTCCTTTTTCTGCTTTTCTCCTGGACCTGCCCCTCCTCATCACACAGTCTGTTCGCCACCATTGTTCACAGAACTAGGTGTTTGGGCTCCTCCTGGAAACATTGCCAGGAGCTTTTCCCCCAGCGTCTCCTTGAGCCTCTATTAGGCTTTTTCCTGGTGTTGTCTTCAGCCCTTGTCCCCCAAGTCTCTCAGCTGTTTCTAGACTCTGAGGGGCCCGGGGGATGAACAGGACAGATGTGAGGTAGGATAGGGACAAGACAGGACCAGACCTGTCCCGGGATCAGGCATGTGATAAACCGAGACCATGAACACGCACACAGACACACATGTGTCTCCTCTGGGCCTGGACAGAGCTTTCATGGGGAGCCCAGTGCTTCCACTCTTGTCCAGCTCTCCCTGGCGGGTACTGACAGACAGGCGGCTGACACCTGGTTTCCACTTTCTTCCCTTCTCTGGTTTCAGGAGCTATTGGCTAGAGGAAGTGGCGGGGCTGTGGGATGCGGAGAGCCGAGGGCTGACTCCCGGACAGCGGAACAGAGAGAGCTGCCGACAGACGGACGGTATGTTCCTGGTGAGGCCTGCACCCCCCACTGGGTTCCCTCCTGGGGAGGCTGGCAGGTGAGGCGGCAGCAGGCAGCCCCTCTTGGTGGGGGCTGGTGAAAAGAGTGGTGGAGGCCAGAGAGGCTTGACCTTGAAGGCCCTTAAGCTTGGTGACCCCCTGGAGGAGCTCAGGTTGGGAACGCATCTCAAACCCTTACTTTCTGGTTACGATTTTTTTTAAAGCTAACATTTATCGAACATTTCCTGAGTGCAAGCTACTGTTGTTAGTGCTTTACATAATCGTTAAAAAAACCCTATGAAATTGGTGACATTCTCAACCCAGTTTAGAGTTGAGGAAACTGGTGCTTGGAGAGCAGCTTTTTCTCTGAGGCTGCTTTCCGAGCCCACAGGGGCAAGGGGTGGGCTGCTCCTCGGGCCCAATCCATACTCCCTGCACCCAGTCCCTGGACCCTGGCTTCCTCTAATCTGTTCCCCCTGGACCCGGGCCCCCATCCAGCACACCCCTGACCCATGGGCACTGACGCACCAAGAGTTCAGCCCTTCGAATGACCCCAGCAGCAGCCCAGGCCTGTCTGCCTGCCTGGTGGCTCCTACATGTCCTCTTTTTTTCTCAGTTCAGAGGCCTCTTGCCACATCGCTGAGCCTCCTTCCTTGTTCCCCTTAGCAGGTTGAGGAGCTCTCACCTCCCAGAATGACCAGTGCAGCCCCTGCTAAGAAACCCTACCGGAAGGCACCACCTGAGCATCGGGAGCTGCGGCTGGAAGTTCCTGGCTCCCAGCTCGAGCAGGAGGTCAGCAAGAGTGGTGCCCCTGCCCTGGCTGGCAGATGCAGGCCCCTGAGGCGGGGTTCTGGCTGTCCTGAGGGCACATCTGGTCCCACCAGTTGGGGTGAGGGTGTGGCATTCCTGGTACACACTTGGGCTCTCAGTTGCAGCAGTGCTGGTGGCAGCCATGTAGACTCATAGGGGACAGCTGTGACACACGTCCATGTGTTCAGGACATGTAGCTCAGCAGAAGTGATCCCACGCAGTATTGTTTTTCGTGCAAGAGGCAGCCCACCCGATAGAGGGGTGCTAACCTGCCCGGAGGCCAGGACTCTGGTCCTCCACTGGTGGAGCAGAGCCATTCAACTTGCGGCCCCTCTGGGGGCCATTAGGAAGCAGTGCTCCAGCGACTTCCCCAAGACTAGCTGTTCTTTGCTGTCCCTGAAAGTCAGGCCCTCCTCCAGCTTTCCTTTTTCTGGCTGACACTTATCAAATACGTGCTCCCTGCTCGGAACTGCATTAGATTCTTAGGAGGGCTTCTTCAGGCAACTGCAAAGCACTCTCCAGGTCGGTTTTCCTCCCTCGTTCAGCTTGCTGCAGGAGGAAACGAGGGCTGCAGTTTATTCATCTTGCTTCCGTGTCTCTATCCTGTTGCAGTGCGTGAAACACATTTAAAGAACTTGAGAGATGGCCAGCACGTGCCGAGCATCAGGCACACCATGGCCCACTCTGGTCACATTCACAGCAGAAATGCCGCCCATGACTTGCCCATTTTCAGTTCAGGAAACATTAAATTAAAAGGCCAGATATTGTGCTAGGTGCCACCCACTGGGCATTCCCCTGGTTTTGTAGATGAGGCCACTAGGGTTCAGCAAGATTAACATAACCAGTGTATGGTACAACAGGATCAATCCAGGTGTCAGTGGCTCCCGAGTCCATGGTCTGGGCCACCCACCTCGTTGCCCTGCCTGTGATTGGCATCCTCAGGCAGTCAGGCCAGTCAGATGCTGCTTGACGTTCCCTCCTGTCGTGGCGCGGGTCTGCTCTGCTTTGCGCTTGGCGGAGCTCTGGCTCGTGACCAACGTGGAGGCTTGAGGAGGATGCGGCAGGAGGGTGAAAGCAGAAGACGCTTTACTTGTCTCAGTCAGGTTTAGCCCAGAGGCTCTCCTTCCCCCACGTGCTTGTGCTTCCCGAGCCTCTGTGAGGGCCTGATCCTGCCCTGGGGGCCAGAAGGGCTTTGGCAGACCTCAGAACCCTACTCTAGCTCGCCTGGCTTCATCACTTCTCTGGAAAGTCTTGGCTGTGCCTGCAGGGCCCGCTAGGAGCCCAGTGAACAGCTGAGAGGCTCTCTTTAGCCCTGGGAGAGGTAGCATGGGTACCAGGGCTCATTTGCAGTTGGCTCTAGTATTAAGAGGGGTTGGAGCTAGTATGGGTAAGGGTGAGGGTTGGAAGCTGGTTGGCATGGGAGAGAGTAGGCTGGTCCAGGTGTTACTGGATTGCCTCTATCTGTGGGGCCCCGCAGCCCACTTCTGCTGTGAGAGTCTCTGGGCTTCAGACATGGCCGTTTCCAGGGCTATTTGGAGGGGGTGGGGAACAAGCAGGAGGCCAGTGGTCCAGAGCTGAGCCTCACGCTTCTGTTCTTTTGTGCCCAGGAGCCCCTGACTGACACGGAGAGGATGAAGTGAGTATCTGCTGCCCGAGAGCCTGCCCTGCCTCAACTCTGCCCCTCTTAGCTGCAGGCGAGGCTGTTATTTCATTTGGGCTTTTCCTTGGATTAGGTAGAGGTAAAGGTTGGGGTGGGGTGTTTTAGGGACTCTGGGAGGAGGCTTGAAGTTTGGGATATTCCTTCTGGAAAAAGAGGTTTGTTCCATGGGCTCCAAGAGGACCTGGCATCAAGGAGGTGGATGGCTCTGAGAGGCCTGCTCTTGCCAAAGCTCCCTTCCCCAGCTCCTGGCCCTCCTGTGCCAGCTGCCTCCCCGCAGCCCTTTCTATCAGCTACATGAGGCCTCTGCAGAGGAGGGCAGCACTGGGCTGGGTTTCTAAAAGATGAATAATGGAGCAGCCTGATTGTGCAGTGGGGAAACTGGAGCTGGCGGCTTGCTGGCCAGCTGGCTTGGGCTGTAACCAGAGACAGACTGGGAACTGTAGCCCCTGCAATTCTGTCTTCTCGTTCTTCTGCAGTGAGGGGGGCAGACTGTCCTCTCCCATCCCCTCTGCCCCTCCCAGCCAAGCTGTGATCTCAGGGCCAGCAGGCCTATGGGATACGCTGCCCCAGACTCAGGCTGAATCTCAAGGAGTCCCCTGCCCACAGCTACCTGTTCTCACGTCACCCCTACTGCTTCCTTCCTGAATCCATCCTGGAACTCTAGGGTGGCCCTTCTATCTCTGATGCCCCTCTGCCCTTGACCCCTCACCCTACCAGGCTTTTGCAGCAGGAGAATGAGGAGCTTCGCCGGCGCCTGGCCTCAGCCACCAGGCGCACTGAGGCCCTGGAGCGCGAGCTGGAGATTGGGCAGGACTGCCTGGAGCTGGAGCTGGGCCAGAGCCGTGAGGAACTGGACAAATTTAAGGACAAGTTCCGCAGGTGTGGGAACGAGGGGCCGGGACACACATGCACGCATCTCCCTGTTCATAGGAGGGAGCCTGGAGAGGCTTCAGAGATCATCTGATTCTGATGTGAAAACTGAAGTTCTGGGAGGGGCGCTTGCCCAAGATCCCTTATGAAGGAGGGGCTGAGCAGGGTCTGAAGAACAGGATCTTGATCCAGGGGTCTGCCTTGTGTCCCTCTACAGGCTGCAGCACAGCTACACAGCTTCCCAGAGGACCAACCAGGAGCTAGAGGACAAGCTGCATACGCTGGTAATCTGTCCAGGAGGGCAGCTTGGCTGGCGCTGTGCTCACAGGATAGCAGGGGCTGGGACTTGCCAGGGGACGGCCATCCTGCCCTGGGCTCGGGGAGGGGGTGGGCCGTGGTGGGGAGGGGTCCGCAGTGTGCTGTGAGAGTCAGGACTGTCTTAATGCTCACACTGTTTCTCTTCTCTCCTCGTCTTCCCTCATGCTGCCACCGTTGCTGCCGCATTCTCCTCTCAGGCCTCTCTTAGCCACAGCTGGATTTTTGCAGTTGCGTCTGAGTTTGTGTGTTTTCTCCCTTGCCCTCACCTCCTCCTCAGCTGAGATCTGGGATTGCTGGGGCCCGGCCATTGCCCTCTGCCCACTCCTTTCCTCTTCCTCATGTGAGGCCTGTTCAGCAGTCAGTGCCTCCCTCCTGGGGGACAGCTGGGGAGCCTGTTCTTGGCTTGGGCAGAGTTACTGATTGATGTCACCACTGGATGCTCACAGCTTCTTGGCTGCAGTGGGCAGCAAGCCCCAGCCATTTGGGGGAAGGGGGCCTGTGGACCCAGTCCATGAGCTGAAGATCAGAAGACTGCTTCTGAGCCTGCAGCTCCCTCCCTGCTCAACTAGATAATCTCACAGGCACCCCCAGCCGCCACGCAGCCCCACTCCCCACCTCCTCCAGCTTCCCAACCTGATCCTGGAAACAGCCACAGGCAGCACCGGCTTCAGCCCCTGGGTTTGCACAGTTCTTGCCTCTCAGGTACCAGCTGCCTCGCCTGGTGTGTAGAGCCCCTTGAGTGCCCTCCAGGGCCGGGCAGCTCTTAGACTGCTCTGCCCCGGCCTGGGCAGCTGTCAGTCATGCTCAGAGAGCCCCCTCCCCACAGCCAGCCTGGACTACAGGAGAGGTGTCTGGTCTCCTTCTGTCTGTCCATCGTCTGTCTCTGTGTGCCTTGGCTGCCCTAGCACCTGTGGCTTCCTGTGTCTCTGGGCCGGGAGGAGGGGGAGGGGAGGGGAGAAAGGGCTGGCTGAGGTGTGGGCTGGGTTCACTGTGAGTCTTGTGCCTCAGATCAAGAAGGCTGAGATGGACAGGAAGACACTGGACTGGGAGATCGTGGAGCTGACCAACAAGCTGCTGGACGCCAGGAACACCATCAACAAGCTGGAGGAGCTCAATGTACGGTCACCTCGGGAGCCTCCCTGCCTGTGCTGCCATGTCCTGGCCCTGCCCTGCTCCCCTGGGCTGTGCCGGGCTCTGAACTGCGTCTGTGTCCGCAGGAGCGGTACCGGCTGGACTGCAACCTGGCTGTGCAGCTCCTGAAGTGCAACAAGTCTCACTTCCGTAACCACAAGTTCGCTGATGTGAGTGGGGCACTCTCCCTGCCAGTGCCCGTCTGCCCTTGTTAGGACGCTTCCAACTCCAGTTTCTACAACTCTCTCTGTCCTGTCCTCATACCTTCAGCTCCCTGCTTTCTGCTTTTCCTTCTCCTCGCCTCCCTGTGCCCTCTGAAGCCAGTCAGCTCGGCCGCTGGTTGGTGTCCTGCATGCTGTCAAGGGCCCGTCACTAGGGGTAGAGTGGGGACTGGCCCTGTTGGTATTTCTGGAACAGACACAGGGAGAGAGGATCTCAATTTCTGGATCCCATGCAGGAAGGAGGGGGTTGCCAGAGGTATGGGCCATAAGAATAATTGAGAGGGGCCCTTGCTCCAAGGGGCAAACCCTAGACCCCAGCGCTCAGGCTCAAGGTTGATGGGGCCTACAGAAGGAGTGGAGGTATTTCTAAGGCTTCTGGTCAATACTGATTCTCAAGCTTGTGTCTGGTTTGGGCAGAATCTACCACTGAGATGGGGAAGTTAGACGTTTGAGAGCATGTGGGCCTTAGCACCAGTTCTGGGTTCAGATCCTGGCTGTGTTAATCAAAAGCTTCAACTTCTTTTACCACTACCGAGCCTCAGTTTATCTGCGAAATGAGGACATACCTTTGTGTGCTGCGGAACAGGTGATGGCAAAGTGCCCAGCACACGGGGGGGCCTTTTATGTGGCAGCCGTCATATTTGCCCTGAAGCAAGCTGTCTTAGGCTGGGCTCATTCACGTCTCTCTTCCCTTCTCTCGCTCCTTTACCCCAGCTGCCCTGTGAGCTACAGGACATGGTTCGGAAACATCTGCACACTGGTCAGGAGGCTACCAGCCCGGGGCCTGCCCCCAGCCTGGCCCCAGGGGCTGTGGTGCCCACCTCGGTCATTGCCCGCGTGTTGGAGAAGCCGGAGTCTCTTCTGCTCAATTCGGCCCAGTCAGGCAGCGCCGGGCACCCCCTGGCTGAGGATGTCTTTGTGCACGTGGATATGAGTGGGAGTGACCCAGGTGACCCAGCCAGCTGCCCAGCTCCGGGAAGCCCCGTCCCCCAACCCAACGGGGAGTGCTGCTCTCTGGGCACCGTGGGGGGCTCCCCAGAGGAGGAGATGTCCCTGCCGGCCTTTGAGAAGCTGAGTCCCTACCCCACCCCGTCTCCACCCCACCCGCTGTATCCTGGCCGCAAGGTGATAGAATTCTCTGAGGATAAGGTGCGGATTCCCCGCAACAGCCCCCTGCCCAACTGCACTTACGCCACCCGCCAGGCCATCTCCCTGAGCCTGGTGGAGGAGGGCAGTGAGCGAGCCCGCCCCAGCCCAGTGCCCAGCAGCCCTGCCTCAGCCCAGGCCTCCCCGCAGCACCAGCCCAGCCCCGCCCCCCCGGGGCTCAGTGCCCCAGCCAGCTCCGCCAGCTCCGAGGAGGACCTGCTGGCCAGCTGGCAGCGGGCATTTGTGGACCGCACTCCGCCCCCAGCCACTGTGGCCCAGCGCACAGCCTTTGGACGTGACGCGCTCCCTGAACTGCAGCGCCACTTTGCTTTTGGTCCCGCTGGCGGAGATGAGGAGGTGCAGGCACCTTCTTTCCCACCCGGTGAAAGTGGGCTTTTGCTGCCAACAGAAGCTGACCCTGGCTTTCCCAGGGAGGAGGAAGAGGAACAGCTGAACCTGCCCATCAGCCCCGAGGAAGAGCGCCAGAGCCTGCTGCCCAGTGATGGTGGCACAGAGGAGGGGCCTGGCACTCCTCGCACTGAGGGCAGGGCCTGGGCACTCCCCAGCTCCAGCCGCCCCCAGCGCAGCCCCAAGAGGATGGGGGTGCACCACCTGCACCGCAAGGACAGCCTGACCCAGGCCCAGGAGCAGGGCAACCTGCTCAACTAGGGCCCTGCTTGCCTTCCTGCCACTGCTGCACGGGGACTGCAAAGGTGCCCCAACCCTCGCAGCTCAGGGTCCCCACCTAGCCCAAGCCCTTGGCCTCTGCTCCCTGTGCAGATAGGGTCAGGCTACACCAGGCCTTTCGCTGCACTGACTGTAACTGGTACCAGCTTGCCTCATGGTTTTTCCCTCCTGGAATATTTATTCTCCAAAGGTAACATGCAGCTGGGGCTCATGACCTTTCTTCCAGTCGGCCCAAATTGGTCTGTTCTGGGGAGCTGAGGGGGTTATTACATCAGTGTTTATCCTCCATCCTCCTTTCATATCCACCAGTTTTCTATTTTTTCTGGCAGGGGGGTGGGGGGAGGAGGGTCATTGGGATTATTAACCTCTAATTTCAGTTTTCACCTGTTTCCCTCTCCCCCCAAATCCTCTGCACGAGCTGTTGCCTTCAAGGGCCTGGCACAGCAGGCCCTCGGGGGGATGAGGGAGAGGACTGACTCAGGGCTCCCCTCAGCTGTTTCCTTCCTCCCTCTGGAAGGGAGTAGAGGGTGGGATTCAGGGCCCTCAAGCTGGGTTCTAGGTGAATCCTGGTCCCACTCCCAACCTTGGCTCTAGACTGTTAACTCCCAGCTTTGGGAAATTTTCACATCAATAACTATTTTAAAATTAAATAAAACTATTTTACTGGTATGGCCTAATTTGTCTATTAATGACCTTCCTTCTGCCCTTATTCTCCCCATTCTTGAGTATTCCCAGTCCTAATCACGTCCTAGTCTTTTTGCTGCTGACTGACCCCTACCACTGTTCTGCCTGGGGCTTCTCTGGGCACAGAGCATCAGGTGGTGGGAGAGGGTGTACCTCAAGTAACCCTGGCAGGGCCCCTGAGTCTCTCCTTGAGGTAGGGTCCAGCCCAGCTCGGGGGGGCTCTTTACCTCAGTTACGATCCTTACAGGGCCTGTGTAAGGTGTCACCCCAGAACCCCAGGTCCTGTAAGTCAGAGACCTGAGCCAGACCTGTTGGAGACATCTGGGGCCAGTGGACGCTGCCTGGAGCTTGGGCCGTGGGGTGGCACTGCCCCCTAGTGATGTCTAGTGGTAATTCCAATTCCTCCCTCGCTGCCAGCCCCCAGTGACCAGAGCCACACGTCAGGTTGTCGAGTTCATAAAATCTCTTCCGAGCCAGCGGGCTGCAGCCAGAGCTGCCAACAAGTCCAGAGGCATTGCCTTGGGTTCCAACGCCCCCAACGATTTTGTTTAGTCACAGCTTCCAGAGCCTCCCACCATGCTGCCAGGAGCTGCCAGAGCCCCAGGCACACCAACCCCCCACCCTCCTAAGCCCCAGGGCCTGACCCTGACATCGGGGGCAAAGTGCTGGAGATGCAAATGTAATGACGTGCAGAAGCCTGAATGGAGAGTCACATCTCCGTCTCAGCCAACAGACTGTCCCCTAGTCCTGACGTCATTAGCACCATCTGAGAGCTGGGATCTGTGGAAGGGCAGAGAGGTGTTCAGACCACCATGCATTCCTCCGCTGGGGACCACAAATAGAAGTGGCCTAAGTTTCTCACACCCACTCTCCCTGGTCCCAAGCCTCTTTCAGACCTGACTCTGATCAACCCTTGCGGCTCTTACCACTGGGGCACATCCAGGAGCTACTGCCCCTCTGGTGGGCAGCAGGCTCCCGCCCTCTCTCTCGTTCCTGGGTGTCGCCAGCCCCTCCTGCCACCTCCTCCTCCTCCTCCCCCTCAGAGAGGAGGTCACAGATCTGCTGCTGCAGCTCGGGGCTAATGCTGTTCTCAGCCAACACCAGACTCCGCAAAGCTGTGGGGTAATTTTCCACCATGTCCAGCAGGGTCTGCAGTGGGGAAGAGTACGGAAAATGATGAACACAGTTAAGGCAGCTCCGGAATCCAACCTGCCACCCCTTCAGTATGTCCACAGACACACTGGCTAACCTCAACCCCTGGCCCATCCCCAAACATGAAGACTTCTCACCTGAGCTGACTGGTTGGTAAGCCCTGTACCCTCCAAGTCTAGGACCTCTAAGGTGCGGCTGGAGGCCACAGCTACAGCCAGCATCGCTGCCACATGGTCACCTGGGGAGACAGTACACGTGCACACACTCACCGGCATTCACAGGCCTGCTAACCCTTTCTCCCCACGGCCTCCCCATTGCCCTGACAACCTCAGAATCCACCCCCAGGCCAGGAAACGCCGGCAATTGGTAGGTGGCCAGGAGGGGAGCATTGTGACTGATGAGTGAATGGATGAAGCAAGCCAGGCCCAGGGGTGGTGATGGATGCTCTGATCTACCTGTCGGTCATCTGGTCCTCAACACAGGTGGCTCCTCTACTTCCACCCAGAACCTCCCTTCTTTCCTCCGCCAGTGTGCTGGTTGCCATGGCAACTGACGGTCCCAGGTTCTTGGACAGGGGTGAGGGGTGGTGAGAATCAAAGGGGGCTTTCTTGAGCCTCACCCAGGGGGTTGTAGTCCAGATTGAGGACGCGGACCTGGGAGCTGTGGGCCACGGCAATGGCGAGGCGGCTCCAGCCCTTAGGGGTGATGCCAGGGTTGGCGCTCAGCGTCAGCTCCTTCAAGCCTGGGCAGCATCATAGCGAGAAGCCAGGATGGAGAGGGTCAGGCCTTTCTCAAGCCCATTCCCCACCTGGGGATCTCTGGGGTATCCCTAGTGACTGAGAGCTACCCCACCTCCTCCACAGAGCTCCAGAGACACTAGCGGCCCATGCCTTTCCTGCCCGCTGCAGCCTGGATTCCTGAGTCTGCATCCTGCTCAGCTCCCAATCCTTCTCCCTCCTAAGAGGATTCGAAAAACATTCTCACCCACACAGTCAGAGCCCTCATCTCTAGGCCATGCCCCCTGCCCTCTGCACTGAGCTTTTCATGAAGGCCACACTAGCCCATGCCCTCAGCAGGGCCCTGCTCACCAGACTTGGCCCCATCAGGGGGGAGAAGGCCACAGATGAGGTTGATGGCTTCATCACCCAGCATGCAGTCCCCCAGGTCCAGAGCCACGAGGGCAGGGTGGAGGGCCAGAGCTGGATTCAGCAAGGCCAGCCCCGCATCTGTCAGAGGGCTCCCATGCAGGCTGGGGGGTGAGACCAGAGAGCAGAGGTTACTGCAGTCATCAGTCCTTACTGTAAGGGGGAAGGGGCACCCTCCCTTATGGTGAGCTGTAGAGCTGAGGGGGACATTCAGTCACAGCACTTGGGACAGGCCTTGGGAAGGAAAAAAGAAAATTCTAGACTCTTAAGAATGCAGTTAGAAGGGGAAAATTCGGTTTCTTTTCTGAGGCAGGGACTGGGATCCAGATCAGAACACAGAGAAAGGGTGTGTGGGTGGTGTTCTGGACAGAACATAGGTGCAGGATCTAGTCCTCAGGGGAGTATTCCTTCTTGGGTACTGAGCAAGCTACCCCAGAGAAGTCCAATGCGGGTGATTAGGTTGGGAGGTACAAGGGTCCTGCCAGGAAGGGGTGGGTATCCTATATCATTCGGGGTGGGTCTGGTGTTCAAAGTCTGGAGGTGAAGCAGGAGCTTGGAGGGTGTTGTGGAGGCATGGGCAGAGGAATGAGGTGCGTGAATAGGGGGTGAGAAGGTAGGCTGGTGCAAGCACAGGTACCAGAAGGTGTGCGGAGGAACAGGAGATGGCAGGGGGAGTGCGAGGAGGGGTGCGGTGCCCGGGACCCCTTTTAGAGGGAGCGCACTCACAAGAGGGACTGGATGGAGCGGTTGGTCCGCAGCGCCTCCGCCAGCTGCTTGATGCGGCTGGGGCTGGACACGACGCCCAGGTTAAGGTTGAGCTGCGCCAGGGACGTGGCCCCGGCCAGGGCCCGGCAGATGCGGCCGAAGTCGCGGTCGCAGAGACGGCAGCCGCGCAGTGAGAGCAGGCGCACGGCGTTGTCGCGCAGGCCGCGGCAGATGTCCCGCACTTCGGCGCCTGACAGCGGCTCCCCCGATATCTGGATGGAGCTGGGCAGCATCGTACCCACGGCTGGGCCTCCGGGGCCAGGGCCCGGGCCGCGGCCGAGTTTGGCGGGGCCGCGGGCGGGGTCGGGTCCGGGGTCCGGGGTGGGGTCGCCGACGCAGCGGGGTATAGGGGGAGGCAGAGGCACAGGCTGCGGCGGCGGGGGCGGGGGCGGCGGCGGCGGAGAGGAGCGCCGGGGTCCGCGCGGGAGCCGGCCGGGATTGCGGAGGCGCCGAGGTCGCCGGCCGGGCTGAGACCGCGCGGCACTGGGGCCGGGGCGGACCGTGCCGTCCGTGTCTGGGCGGCGAGCCGGGGCGCGCCTTCCGGGGCCGGGCGGGCGCTGCTCCGCGCTGGTCTTCGTCCCTCGCGGTTACGGCGCCGGCTCAGGGGCCTCGGCTTAGGACGCGCGGAACCGGTCTCCGCTCGGAGGCCGCATCTGTTCCCTCCCTTCCTCCAGCCCCACTCCCCCTACCGCCCCGCAGGGAGAGCCCGAGGCGGGCAGGCGGGCGGGCCGGCAGGCGGGCAGCGGGTGGCGGGCGGCAGCTCTGGCTCAGGCTGCTGCGCAGGAGCGGGCGGCGGGTTCCCATGGCAACGGTATCGTCATCGCCGATCGCCCCGCCTCCTGCCCGGCCTAGACCACGCGGGCACACGAGGTTTGCGCACACCCGATGTTCAGGAGCGGTGGGGGCGCTCTTCCCCTGGGTGTAGGGCCAGACAACAGGTGGCCAGGTGGAAGCCTGGGACGGACAGGGGTAGGGAGGGGAGAATAGAGGCACATCAGGTGGAGACGGCATTTGAGACAGTTACACGGTTCTTTTGCTCATTTTCTCGTCGTTCCCCGTTCCTAAGGGCCAGACCCCTCGGTGCCTTCGCCTGGATCCCAGGGACGCCCCCCACCCCCCACCCCCCGGTCCAGTTTGGAAGTCCCAAGGGCACTTTAATTCGCGCCTCGCCCCGCCCCCGCGACAAGAGGCGCCGCGTGCGCGGGCGTTCCAGGCGCGAGGAATTCCTCGCGTGCCCCTCGCCAAGATGGCTGCCTCGCAGTGGCGGCGGCGGGAGCCCCTGCTCCGTGGAGGCGGCCTCAGCTGCCAGGCCCAGTGGAACCCCAAAGGGTCCTTGAAGCAGGTGAGCCTTAGGTAGATGCAACGCGCTGATGCCGTTCCTTTCCCAGGTGATTAGGGCACTGCTGATGCTCTGACGTCCTCAGTATCCGTGGGACTGGAGTAGCCAAAATGAAGGGGGGTGGTAACCAGGAGAGCAGGCTGCAGTGGCCGTGGGGCCGTGAAAAGTGGGCCGGAGCTTTCAGTAAGGGCACACTGCACAATACAGGCAGTGCCCTTAGAACGTTGTCCACTGGTGATAGTGTAGGGGCCTCACATCACATAGGATCACATAGCGTGAATGAAGGGCACATCTTTCTTAGTCCCTTTATTAGAAGAGAAAAACGCTAACCCAGATTTACTAGGGTAATGAATTAAAAAAAAAAGAATAATATAAACATAGTGAAGGGAGGTCAAAGATTCTGTTCCCTCCATTAACCACCTGACTTAAGTGGAACAGATTAAATGGGTAGTGGGAGAGGATGGTGCTGTGCTTGGGGTGGTTATCGCTTTTAAGAGTAAATAGCACTCTTGAAGAGAAAGGACTGAGGGAACTCCTGAAGAAAGCTTTGTTCCCCTGGGCCCAGTATAACCAGGGCAAAGCCAACTTT